CGAGGAGCTCAATGGGGGTTGCACGCAGGAGTGTGTGGACACCCGTGCTGGACATTACTGCAAGTGCAAGCCTGGGTTCATGCTTGTCAATAGCACCCAGTGTGAAGGTATCTTCTGTTTTTGGTTTTTATTCATTTCCTTCATGTTGTATTTAATTTCTGTAAAGTATCTGAGGACCTCAATTTACAGCTTTTCTCATTTTCAATGTTAATTTTAATTCTGCCTATCAGAATAAATGCATATTTTAATTCAGTACCTCTCCTTCTATTCCTCTTCATTAGTCACCCATTTGATACTTGGAGAAATAAATTTCATAAAAAATCTATCTATCTATCTATCTATCTAATATATATATATATATATATATATATATATATATATATATATATATATATATATATATATATATATATATATATATATATATATATATATATATACACACACACACACACACACACACACACACACACATTACAAATAAAATTTGCAAATTTTTAAAACTCAGTCACACAAAAATATAAACACTTTAGGTCACATGAATTTGATTTCAACTTTCCAAGCATACACTTCAGAATCCCCAAGTCTAGTTTCCAAACATGGCTCTCTAGAGTTCCAAAACATTATACTAAAGAACACCCAAACTCAATTTTTGAAAATATTCTGATTGTTCACTGCCTTCCTTTCCTCTCTCAGACATCAATGAGTGCCTGGAGCCCGGGTACTGTTCACAGGTGTGCATCAACCTCAAGGGCTCATTCAAGTGTGAGTGCGTCGGAGGGTATGCCAGAGACCCCCACAACCTCCAGCGGTGCAAGGCTATGGAGGGACACGCCTCCTTGCTCTTCGCTCACTTCATTGACATCAGGAAGATCTCTCTTGACCATCAAGAAGTAGGTTTCTCATTTTCTTTTAAGAGGGGGAGGGGAGCAGGGGCTTGCTGAGTTATTGTGTGAGTGGAATTGTTTGTTGGTTTGTTTGCTGAAGATTCTTGATGTGGTATTTTGTTTGCAAGATGTATGAAGGGCAAAGTAAATTTTGATGTTGAGATTCAGAGTTCATTTAATGTCAGAATTGGTAACTGGTGTAATGAACATTGGTCCATTATGGTTTTAAAAGTTTTAATATATATGAAAGTATAAACTTTTTATTATTTATATTGAGTCAGTCATTTTTATGGATTAAAAGTTATGTTTGTTAGATTACAGTAACCTAAATTTATTCATATCACACAGATCACAGCCATCGTAAATGAGACTCGTGGTTCCACAGCCCTAGACTTTGTCTTCAAAACTGGAATGATTTTCTGGACAGATTCGATAGACAAGTGCATTTACAAGTAAGTACCGTTCATTCACTTTATTTGAGTTACAGAATATTCTCACAGTATAAGATACTGTTTAATGTGACTCTTGTTATATGGTATATGTTGATATGTGTAAACTTTTATTTCAGAGCTCCTATTGATGAAGGAAGCAAAAAGCAAGTTGTAATATCAGAAGAAGAGACAACAGTTGATGGTCTAGCAGTTGACTGGTTATACAATCACATATATTGGACCAACAACGATAGGGACACAATTGAGGTATGTGTGTTTATGTTCTTTCATTTCATGAGCTATCAATATTACAGATTTTTATAAGACTCCCACACTTTTTCATCCAATTTTATTTTTATATCACATTTCGTCCTTTCCAAACTGTAAAACAAAAGTGACAGATAAATTACTTGTCCTCCAAGGTGGCAGATTTTAATGGTGACATGAGAAAAACGCTCTACCAAGACCGCATAGAACAGCCCCGAGCCATTGCAGTGTACCCCTCAGAAGGCTGGATGTTCTGGACTGACTGGGGCCAGAATGCCATGATCGAGAGGGGAGGCATGGATGGAAAATTCAGAGAGGTGGGTTGCTTGAGGTCTTTTTCTTAGGGTTAAGAGAAGTTTTTTTTTTCTGCTTAGTATTCTGAACTGAACAGATTCCATTTTTCTTCATTATTGTTCTGTTCTCTTTTCAAATTTTTTCCTCTTTCAGTTACTGTTCCTTGCATTTTAGTCTTTTGTTTGCTATTAATCTCACTTCTAGGGTATATGATTCATAAGTGAAGTGGAGATCAGGTTTTATGGAGTTTTGTCTTCTGAAAACTTAGCATCTGTTTTTATGGAGACTTGGGATATTCAGTGCCCTGTTCTGATAAGAGGCTCTGATACTTCTCTTAATGTGCTTACAGTTTGTTCTTCTATATAAATTGTTGTTTGATAAATAGCACAGGGAAATGTTTTCACTGAGCTATTTATTCATTCATTTACTTATATAGTTATATATTTATTCTGTATTTAATTATTCATTTTATACATGCAGCCAATCATCACTGAGGAAATCATGTGGCCCAATGCCCTGACTCTTGACCTTGTGCTTCGGAAAATCTACTGGTCAGACTCCAAGTTGCACTCCATTTATTCTTGTAACTTTGATGGATCACAACGTAGGGTAAGAACATTC